GTTGTGAGTTTGCTCATGGGTATTCGCTCCGCGGTGTGCTTCATCATCATCACCACCGTGTGCTGCCGATAGTGAGTTGAAACGCAGGCGTATGTTGGCCTGCCCTCCGCCGGAGGAGAAGGAACTCAGTGGTGGCGGTGGTGCGTCTGGGTGTTCGCTGCCCGAGGAGGACACTCTGCGCATGCGCTGCTGCTGCTTCTGCCTGTGCTGAAGGCGAGTGAGCTTGGGCAGTGCATAGTTAGGAGAGGTGTCGCTGGATTGCAGTCGCGTCCGCTGCTGGGGTTTCCCCGGCGAAGGCATTGGCCACGCGAACACGGAGTCTGCCGTAGCGTTGGCTGCATCAAGTGTCAGGCAGCTGTTGCCATCGGCCGGGCAAGACTGGCCGAACGGCAAAAACAAGTTGGCCGAGCAGTCCTCCGCCGAGGACCTCTCCGACAGAAGGTTGCTGGGGAGAGAGTACATGGGGGCGGCCGGTATCGGTTCATACTCCTTGTCCTCCGTCGTGCTTGACCGGCCGTTCCTGGAAGGACCGCGGTGGAACGCGCTGGTTGAACTGTCGTCCAGAGAAGAGACGGTCTTCCTCACCTTTGCATACGCAGGGCACGGTGAACGACCGCCTTGTTTGCTTCGCTGCGAGTGTGTTCCAATGGCCTTGCTGGTTTCTACCCCGTCCGTTCGCGGATGTGAGGGTACGATGCGCGTAAGCTTCTGTACTTTGGCGTAGGCGGGACGGCGGAGGTCCTGGCGGGCCACCGGCACTTGCGGAACCGGCTGACTACCCTGATTGGACTGTTCATCACCTGCTGCCAGATCACGAGGCCAGGATAGCGGCCTGTGGTTACCCCCTTGGGCCGCCGAGTTATCCTTGTTGATCTTGGCGTACGTCGAGTCGAGTCGTGGCGACGCGGAAGTGGATCGCGCAAGGGCGTCGCACGAGGCCGGCTGGCCCGAGGAGGGGCGCAGCGGCGAGCAGCTTGCCGTGCGCGCATACGTGCCCGGGGAGCAGGAGTTGTGTCGACGCGAGTCGGCAGCGGCCGCTGCACCCTGGCGTCCGCGTGTGGAGCGCGAGTATTGTGGCTCGTTGCCAACGCTGGCGGCGCGTGTTCGCGACGCGACCGATGACGCGCTGTAGTGGTGGTGTCCAGGGCTTGCCCCGAGCGGGGGCAGCGGAGGGGACGCATGCGACGTCTGCGAAATCTTCGCGTAGTCCGAGTGCTTTGCGGACGTTATTGACGAGGCGGGGGACGTCACCAAGCTGCCGTTCTTCACTTTCTGGTAGTGATCGCTGTCCGACTTTATGCTGTCCAATACCTGCGGCGAGCCACTCAGCCGCTTGTCAGACGTCGTCGACGTAACGCCCAGCTTTACATAGCTGACCACAAGGGACTGGTACGGGTCGACAGCTACGGCGCTAGCTGTGCTGTCGTCCAGCATTCTTGGAAGTGACCGTTTCTGGTAGAGCGAGGCCAAGATGTCCTCGTCACGTTCCGCTAGAGGCGCTTCCTTCTCGACGGTTCCACGCACCAGCGTCGTCGTCATATCCAGCGACTTGTCTTCGTTGGCAAAGGATACCGCCGAGTCGATGCTAAACGCAGGGTTTGCCTCGCAGGCAATGGCAACCTCGGTGGAGCCGTCCGACACGAGCGACGGCTGACGCTTGCCGAAGATCTGGAACGAGCGACGCTTGGTGGTGCCTCCAGTGCTGCTGACGCTATCGGATTTGCCTGCGCTGGCCAGCGTGCTGCTGGTGCTGTTACCGGAAGCAGTGGCTGCGACGGCATTGCCCGTGCTGCTGGTTCGACACCGCACTGCCGGCGCGCTCAGGCTGTTATCGCGGCTCCTGCCGGGCGGAAGCGTGCTCTGGCTGTCGGCTCTGTCACGCTGCGACAACGGGTCGGTCAGGCCACTAGGTGATTTGCTGCTGTTGCCGCTGCCGGTGCTAGTCTTACTACCGACGCTGGTCTTACCAACGGCGGCCGTAGCAGCATTACCGCCGGCGGTGGTGTTGTCAGCTCTGACCTTGCTGGCGCTGTTGGCCCTGACCCTGGCCAGCGCGTTCACCGGGCTGGTGATGATGGCCGTGAGACTGGACACGCTCTGCGTGGACGTGTACAGTGACGAGGCCTTGGACAGGTTCTTGAGACTCTTGCCGAGCCCAGGCCGGCCACTGCCGCTCTCCGACTTGCTGGTGGACTTGGAGCGCACGCGGCCCAGTATACCTATGTGGTGCTCCCGACAATCACCGGGCAAGCCTGGCGCATCGCCACCAACACCGTTGTGTGTTGGATTCAGGCTCATGAAGCTGCCCTCGTTACTCGATGGCGTGGTGCCGGCCACATTTGCGGCATGGTGTGCCTTCTTACGCAGGTCCTCCTGTCGCCGCACTGTGGTGGAAGGTGCGGAGAACGTCCGCTCGCGGAAGCCCGGAGTGTCAAACTGCTCGTCGAAGCCGAGAAACTGGCTTCCTTGATAGCTTCCCTGATTGGAGCAGGCTGCAGAGGGAGGTGGCGGTGGTAGGGGCGCTGATGTGTTCGACGAGTAACTCGACAGCCTGGATCTCTCTGGGAAAGGCGGAGGCTGCTGCGGCTGCTGCTGTTGGGGCTGTGTCTGTTGCGAAGACTCGGGGTGCCTGACGGTGGCCAAGAACTTGCCGAGGCTTTCGTCCAGGTCCGAAGAGCCGCTCTGCGTAGAGTGCTGGCTGGCCTGGCCGAGGCCAGCACCGACTGGTTTGAGCACGGGAGTGTGATGTTCCTGACTGACGGCCTGCATCATGGGTACGTTGATGGCGGACGGTCGGCACTGCGTCTCGCCTCGACGCGCCGCCCACGGATCGATGGCGCCGACGAGGACATTGTCACCGCCGGCGCCCAGCGGCAGAGGCCAGGTGTTGGTTGTGGACGCACTGTCCCCGCTCTCGTAACCGGCACTGCTGCCACCGCCGTTCTGCTGGCTGTAGCGTGCGGCGCCGTCGCTCTTCGCCTGTCCGCCGTTGGGCGCGGGGCGTCGACGAGCCTTGTTCAGCTTGCTGACTTTGCCAGTCTTGCCGACTTTGCCCCGGCCGTCCTTGCGGTGGTGCTCCTTGCGTCCGCCGTGATTGTTGTCGTAGTGGAGATGCGAGAGGCTGCCGAACGACTGCTCCAGGGCGCAGGGGCTGTGATAGCCGGCATCTCGCACCGGCGGATTGGGCATGGAGCCAGATTTCACCTGGACGTTAGGTATGCTGGTCGTCATCTTTCTGGACGTGCTCTTGCTCATTGAACCGTAGGCGTTCTGCTGCATGGCGTCGCTAAACACCTTGCTGCTGGAGAGGAAGCTGTTCGGTTGTTTCGGCGAGTTTGGCGACATCCGCAGGTGGAATGTGGCGGTTTGCGAGCCGAACTCCGACGAGATGCTGAGGCTGTTGGGTGGGTTCATGCTCAGGTGCGACGACCTCTGTTCGGAGTAGTCGGGAGTGGCGGTGACGTTGCCGTGGCTACGTGAGCAGCTCTGCCCCGGCGGGGTGTTTTTAGCACTGTTGTAGCTCAGTCCGGACGGCGCGTTTGTACTGTTGTTGTGGTTGTTGTTAGCGGCGTTCATCTCGGCCAAGTAGGCAGCCACGGCAGCCGTGCCAGACCACTGCAGCTTGTCCAGCTTGGTGATGGAGTTGGCGCGCGATGCACTCACGCTGCCCGGCAGGTACTTGCTTAGGGAGGCGCGGGATACCGCGGCTATGGAGCTGCGGCGAGAGCTGGCGTTGATGGGCGAGGTCAGGTGCGACTCCATCTCCGTCTCAGGCACCGAGCGAGGTCGCTGGCTGGTCAAGTTCTCGTGGTGTATAGTGTTGTTGCTGCTGCGCGCGGCAATCGGGTATGAGTTTCTCGCCATGCCCAGCGTGCGTTTGGTCTTGCGGGCAAGCAGCGTGATGAACGCGCCCAGCGATGCTTTCTGCTTGGGCTTGCTGGCGAACGGCGACTGGGTTTGCTGCTCCCTGTCCGTGTTTGCGTCTCCGTCGTGGCTCTCCGCAGGTCGATCGCCTTTCTTGCAGTCGGACGCGGAGGAGACGAGGTGTATGCGGCTGCTGGGCTTGGATGGGATGTCCTGGTTGGAGTGGGTCTCGAAACACCAGTCTCCAAACTTCTCCTGCACCGTCGGGGGCCGCTGCGGCAGCAGGATCACCTTGGAGCGCGTGATCGGGTGGCTGAGCATGCGGTTCACGCGCGCGTAGATGGGCAAGCTCTCCTGGCTAGCGCCCCAGCAGTCGTCACGTGCCGTCAGCAGTGGTGGAATGGTGCCCGGCGGTCCGGCATTGGACGACGCCGTTGTCATTTTCGTTGGCTCTAAGCAGAACAGGTCGTCGGCAGTCGGAGGGCTGCTATTCCACGGTGCATTGTACGGGTCCGCCGACCGAGACCGGTCCCGTTCCTTCTTGGATTTCTTCACCTTGGCGTAGGTCGTCGCCGATCGCGTACGCGGAGGCGAGGTCGACAGGGCCTTACGCTGGACTGAGCGAGAAACATTGATGGCTCTGATGACTGGCTCCTCGTCCAGTGGAGATGCGGGAGCCACGACCAACAGCGAGGACGGAAGCATGTGGTTCGGACTCCCCTGTCGAGGCGGCGTCAAGGGCAGGCTCTGCGTCAGCTTCTTGGTGGCGGAGTAGTCGGCGTAGTCCGAGTCCCCGTCGGTGCACGTCTCCGTCTTCGACTCGTGACCAAGGTGCCATCCGCGCGACGCGGCCGGAGACACCAGTAGCTCGTTGCTGAGGCTGGCTTTGCGACGGGCGGCCGTCGGGGAGCTGGGCTGGCTCACGCACGATAGCTGAGCCAGTGGTGAAAGTAGAGGAGCACTGGACCGTCGCAGGTCCATGGTAGACATGGCGTTGGCACGGTCGCGGCCAAAGCTCCTGAACGACACGCCGTCCCCTCGCACGGCGTCCTTGGCCGACAGCAGGTCAGAATTGCTGTGCGCCATGGCGGTGCTCAGCGTGGGGGAGTCCCGGAACGAGCACAGCATGGCCTCGCTCATGTCCACGTTGCTGAAGGACTGGCCCAGCGTCCCGGCACTGCCCACCGAGAAGCTATGCATGGCCGTGAAGGGCAGATGGCTCTCGCTGGTGGCCATCAGGCACTCCTTCTCGTAGTTGCCCCAACGCCGTCGTACTCTTGCAATGTGACGAGCTCTGGCTGGGCGTCAGGCGGCTCGAGAGGGCGTCGCGTGCCACAGTGAACAGTGATGCTTTGCTTCGGGCGGCCGGCACAGCCTCGGGTACGTCGTCGAGCTCACCTGCTGTGCTGTTGGTGCGTGCGTATATTGGTGAATAGCATTCCATGGGTTTGCCAAACGCAATGGCCAGTGAGTTGGTGAAGTACTCGTCCGACTGGTACAGGATGTTTTTAGGCGTTGGTGGCGGGGTCTTCATGCCTCCCTCCATCTCCTCTTGCGACGACATTGCCGCCCGGCGTTGCATGGACTTGGGGGAGAGAGTGACGCGGGAGAACACGCTCTCCTTGCATTCCCTGGAGTCGGCCTTGCTGGACGTCTTCTTGCTGAGCAGCTGGTTGAACAGCTGTGCGTGCAGCGCATCGTTCTGTCACAGTGGGACACACGCACATGCGGCGCACAAACACAAACACACACACACAGAAAAGCCAGACAGATACACACACACCTCACACACATACGCGTGCGCGCACACACACACACACACACACACACACACACACACACACACACACACACACACACACACACACACACACACACACACACGCATGCACAAGAATGCACACACACGCAAGCATGCACACACACGCAAGCATGCACACACACAAGCATGCACACACACACACACACGATATAGCACACATTGCACATTTGTATTTGTATTTGTATTTATATTTGTATTTATGGATATCAGACATAAAGTATACAAAGAGTGCACACATTTCAACTCTCAGGAAGGAAACACGGGAAGGACATGGTGACCATGGCAACCACTCAATCTACAAATACGATGGTAAGGATCGGAGGGGCAGAGGTGTAGATAGACAAAGTTGGCAAGCGGATCTTATTGTGCATACTGCCTTCATAGCGGGCAAAATAGCACAACCTGTTTTGTGCCAATATAATCATACTTGATAAGAGAGCGGGAGAGCGGCAGATCACAAGATGTTGAAAATTCGGCTTACCTCTTGTGTGGTGTTGCGCAGGGTCAGCAAACAGAGAACTAGAACATAGAGGCCCTGCAGTGCGTTG